ACAGAGGCATTTTTTTCTCTTGCCATAATTTTAAATCAGTGTGTTGAAAATTTGTATATTTTTGGTTAGAGCGTTTGAAAAGGTTTTTATAAGGTTTTTAATATGTTCCAAATAAAGATTCCAGTACGTGACTAACTTCTTAGATTTAATGTACAGGTTTAACAAAGTGTGCAAACAGAACAAGTGTAGACAAACGATCTAACTGCAAAATATTCTAACACATCCAAGGTTTTAGTCAAGTTCACAAACTTTTATGACTAACATGATAAAAAATTTTCTAGTTGTCCAGCTGCAATGGGCCCCAGCAACCAGTTTCTGATTGGTCTTTCTGCTCTGATGTGACATAGCATTTGTACTATGATTGGATATGACTTGTTGTGTCGTAATCTCTACATGTGTGAATAAAGGTGGATCACATCCGCAAAGTTTTGGAAGAACTTCTCTGAGCTTGGCTTAAGTTAAGTACACTGAACTTCTTCCCCTTTGCAAAGTGTATCATTTAAACTTTACCGGTCTCTGATTGTCTTTGTTTAAATGTCTGGTTGGGTTGTTGTTTTTCAAAGTCTCAGGTAAAAATACCGGACAGCGTTTTTATAGCCGAGTGAATTGTTGTAGATTGAAAAATAACAGCGTTATACCTGCCTATTTCTACATAATGCTGCAGCAACTCCTAAGTTTTCTTGTTGTTGTTTTTTTTTTTGTTTTTTTTTGTGATCTTTGTCGTGCTGCAAGTAATCAGCTGTCTTCAACACAATAAAAACTTCAAGAAAGCAACTCTTACAGCTGCCCTGTTCAGAAGACTTGTCTTCAGTCAGGAAATTAAAAAAGTAAATGATTTACTTTATCCTGGGAGAAATGAGTGTGACTTCTGGACCCTTTTGTCCCCATTTGTCTCATTTCCCTTTGGGCTTTTGTCTTGTTTTTTTTTTTTGTTTTTTTTTTCTGACTGATCACCTGATTCCCACATAAACATCAGAGGTCAGTCTTCCAACACTGTAGTTGTTTTACAACAGCTCTTTGATTTTAGCTGATCCAGTTCTTGAGTTAACTTAAGGAAAAACCTAATGTCTTGCCAAATACAATATAAATACCAATATAATTTGTGTCCTGTGTATTTCTAATTTTATTATTTTTTATGTTCCTTGAGTTTTTGTTGTGCGATTGTCACAGACTGTCCTGTTGAGATTATGTTGAGGCGAGGCTTGGCTAGCCTGACCTGCATGAGCTGAAATGAGATGAGATGAGATGAGATGAGATGAGATGAGATGAGATGAGATGAGATGAGATTCAGTAATACATAGCCTGATGTGATTATTTGATCAAATGACAGTGTGAGATGAGATACAGTCACATAAAATAAGATTGATTAGATGAGACGTGAGTTCGAAATAAATGAGATGATACAGTATTTTGTGACATTTGACAATGTGTTGAGATAGATGAGGCACAATGATATGAGAAATGACACTATGAGATGAGTCAGATGAGATACAATGAAATAAGACATGGCCAAATTATATGATAAAATCAGAAAGAATGAGATGTGAGTGAGATTAGATGAGCCAAGATGGAATTAGAGTAGATAAGGGATGGGATGAGATATATATTTTTAGGAAATATTACACAAAACCTTCAATCTTTACTAAATAAATCAAAAAAACTATCTACATTAAAGAATATCATTAGGTCATAAATATTTCTGGCTTTTAGTGGTTGGCTTCTGATAACTTTAAATCTTCAAATTTCAATGTATACTACCTAAACATTTGTGAATCTGTGAAATGCGCAGCTAAAAGTCCTACATTGTGATGCTATAATTTAAATTTCTGTTTCCCAGTGGCACAGTTGTGTCAAGACGATATGGAACACAGTTAACTAAATATTAAATGTAGAGCAGAAGATGTCATGTCAACATTGCCTCTATGGCTTTAATATAGGCCACCAGACGTTCCTCTGGGACATCTGTGCTCAACTCTGTTGAGCAGCCATTGTTATTACATTTTGAAGCGTCTCGGACGTTGCAATTTCAGGCTTTTCCAGCTCTGTGAAACTTACACAGTATATAAATAGAGACAGAACTACTGATTAAGATCCCCGTGAATGATTGATTGATTACAAAACCATCTGGCTGTGAGGTTTGAAGGCAGCAGGACCCGAGGAACTTGCAGAACTCCAGAATGTATACATAAAGRAATCCATGTGTGCCAATAAGGCAGCTCAAACACAATTTCTCAAAAAGCTTCACAAGGGGACAACGAAGAGACCACCACACAGGCTGGGGTGGACAGCACAATGAATGAACAAAGCACAGAGGACAGAAGACTGAATATAAAGCACTAACAGGGGGTAAACAAGAAACACCTGGAGGAGGCACATGAGGAACAGGTGGGGGCGGGGCTAAAGCAAAGATTGACAGGTAACACAGAATGGAAAAACACTGGGACCTATAGAAAACAGTAGGAGGATGAAACAGACAGGCTCCTTAGAAAAAGAAACAAGATGTGGTTTATGGTTTAAAATGTTTCCATCCTGTAAATATCAGCTTCTTCTTTTACAGTTTATTGTAAAAATGCTTTGTGGACATTTTGTAGGAAGATGACAGGATATTAAATAGGCATGTTTTTTTTAATCTAATTATTCTTACTGTAAGTAATGTACAGGGGTGTGCCCTGGAGGGCTATTATCCTTTCTCAGCTCCAACTCACCTGACTTGAATGAATGGGTGATTAACAGGCTTCTGCAGAACTTGAAGAATTCATTCACTGAGTCAGATGTGTTGAAGCAGGGAAACATGTAAAACATGAAGGATATCAGCTCTCCAGGACCAGGACTGAATGCCCCTGATATATACTGTAGGTTGTGATTCCGACACTTTTGCTCTTAGCAGATCTATGAATATTTAGAAGGACGGCTTTCTCACAAAAAATAAAATTAAATAAAATCTTTAATTCACCAGATGTCTCTCTAAGTAGTTCATCCTTTGACACTCACCCACAGATGCAGAGGGTGATATTGTGCATCACGTATCTAATGATATTCTTGGGACGAGTTGTGCTTATTGACAAACACACTATTATGTCACAGTCGATAACTCATTATCTTTCCATACACCCATTAGAGGCAGAGGAGTTTATGATGAATGGCACTAGACTTTTTAATGTCTGTATAATTGCTAGCAGCTACAATACACTCAAGTAGAAATCATTAGCTTTTTTTTTCCTTTTTTTTTTACAAGCGACATTAATTTTATTCTAAGGAATAAAATTAATTTTAATGACTAAATGAAATTACACACCTTTTTTTCTCCTTTCACATCACTTATGTCACTTAAGCATCCAAGTCATCCAACTGGGATTAGGACTTCAAGGGATACTCTGGTCAGTTTTTAAGTGATGTTCTGTCAAATCAGGAGTTAGCAAATTTATCAGATGGATAGAGCATGAAGTATGACAGAAAGGGCAGAAGTCTTCAACCAGGCCAAGCTCTATATTAGCTATATTTTTAATGTAAACATGCTAAAATAGACTTTTAATACACAGGCTCTGGTGGTATGCCCTACAAAACAAAGTTTCTCTATCTGGTTCTTTAGTATGGAGCCCAAACAGTAACTC